TATATATATGTATATATGTATATATGTATCTATATCGAGAAATAGATGTCATAAATGCATGCATACTATTATAATGTATTACACCAGGTACTTTCATAACACGTTGCTGACAAGTGGGCCTCTGATTCCCTTTGTAAATCTAAAGCAAATATATATATGTATATATGTATATATGTATCTATATCGAGAAATAGATGTCATAAATGCATGCATACTATTATAATGTATTACACCAGGTACTTTCATAACACGTTGCTGACAAGTGGGCCTCTGATTCCCTTTGTAAATCTAAAGCAAATTTTTATTGTGTCTTTTTTTTTTTTTCATATTTTCTTCCCCCTAAATGAATGTGCTTGCACCAGAAATGAAAGACACAAAGAAGCTTAGTAAAACCCTCTGGCACAATGCAATTTTGCTTTAATTAACCATTTGAAATGCATATACTGAAGTGGGAATGACAAGAATTGGTGGTAGTTACCATGATAATGCAGAATATTTTAATAGTGTTACGAGCTGTATTGGTTACAGTTGTAGATACAACATGTGAAGTTTTAAAACATTAATTAACAAAGTAAATAGACAGAATATAGTTTCATTTTTGAGGCCTTATTTTGGAAGTTATAATATTTTTTGAAAGTTTTAAAATCTAGCTTTCCGACATGATCACCTAGTGCAACTAAGAGGAAGAACTGTTTAATAATAAATATTTTTGAAAATAAAAGTAAAGCTGCACATTCTCCTTCCCTTAGTTAACTTTATGTAAGTAAAAATAGCAGATGTGTTTAAACTTATTAGGTAGTCAGGAATTATAATGCTTTGGATTAAGGTATGCAAACAGAAATCAGCTTCAGCTCAAGTTGTTGCCTCTATAATGTGTTTGGTGAGGGAAAAAAAATCTGAAAAAGGGGGAAAAAAGTTATCAGTTCTGTTGTTTTTGAGAATTATACATGAAAGAGAGAGATTTACTTATAGGATGCTTGCTCTTTTGTGTTGTAGTAAATATTAGGAAGACACTTTTGTCTAAAGGAATACATATGAATGTTTTGGATATAATGAGGAAACATCCACATTCTCCTGAAGTGTCTGAAAGTGCCTGCAGAATTCTGAATCATGTTTTCGAAGGAAGGTAATATACTTAGAAATACATAGCCACTTCTAAAGTGAAGGGTTGTGAGATTCAGTGCTGTAATTGATTACATGTAAATTATTGACTGTTTCACTGATGCTAAAATTGACCACAGCCTGACAGCCCTGTTCAAGACATGGAATTTTGTAAGTCCTGTAGTCAAGTGCCCAGGTGATTATTAAAATAACATTGTGTTAATGTTACTTCTGTGTTGGCTCTTGCAAATGCTCTAGAACACGACTGGAAAACAAACTTGTGACTCATAAATACTGGTATACAGGTTTGGAACGTTATTCCAAGTGTCTCTCCAAGTTTTTCCAGCCTTCCCTGAAACGTTTATGTATGCTAAGCTGTCTGTGAAAAAATTATAGACTCAAGATATAGTCACAGAATTTCTTATGAATAATTTCATTTTATAAAGAAGAAAATCTCAAAACTTCCATAAACATGTTCACAGGAATAAAAAGTATTATAAAATGAAAGAAGAAAATAACCTTAAAAGTGAATTAGTGACCTTTGGCTACTGCCATTTCTAGGAATGCTAATGACATTGAGGGTTTTTTTTCTTCAAAGATTAGAACCTAACATGATTGATATTTTTCTGTGTGTTCTACAAGTACCTGACAATTCATCAGTAGTTTATGACAGTTGTGGAGCACTAAATTAAGATATATGTGTCTTTCCTCATATCTGGACTGGAATCAAAGTGAAATATATGAATTCATGGAATGGCATGAAAATAATATATTTGCTATGATGAAGAAAAGTACCATAGTTTAATTTGTATTTCATAGCTCAAACTAGATTTAGTGTTCTAAAGGGTTATTACATTGTGTTAATTAAGGAAGCAAATACATGTACAATTTAGAAATGCATTCTTTTTATTTATTTTATAAACAATATTTTCAGTTTCCCTCATCTGGATGTAATGACGGTAGCTGCATCAGAAGTTGTAAAAGCCATGAGGGAACATGAAAAATCTCTCTCTGTACAACTGGAAGCACTTAGAGTCCTTTTACACTTTGTGATGCCCGGTAAGTCATCCAAAAATATAATCAGTATGGCATTGTACACAAAATCAGAGAATAGAATTAGACAGCTGCGCTTTAGTCTCTCTTATCTAATTAGGCAGCCTTTAATGGGACTTCAAGAAATTTACTGGAGTTCTGTACATAGCAGAGGGCAGCTGTAACTTTAAGAACATATGAGATGGAGGAAAACTTTTGAGGTATTGAAGATAACAGACTAAAATTATCACTGCTGATTTCCCCTTGATTTTATCAGTGAAATGTTGGCTCCATTACTTCTAAGGAATTGAAGGAATGAGTGCGGAGCTATTGCTGTGATTGTGTATTTTCATCATAGATACCCTTTAAGTGAGAACAAACAGTGACAATGACAAGCAACATTGTTGTACCATGAAATGCAATTATTTTAATAGTAAACTATTGGAAGGAACATAAGAATTGGGCCTCTGACACTAAAATATAAAGGCAGTGATTTAAGGATATGAAGTATACTATTATATACTATTTTCTACAGAAAAGGAGAAGCCAAACCCACAAGCTTAGAAATTCTGTGCAAAAAAAAAAAAAAAAAAAAAAAGCCTCTTTAAAGGCAGTCTACAGTAGAAAAAATATGTTCTTTGCTAGTTCTATACCTTTAATAGAATTTGGAGAACGTTTTAACTCCTTGTCACTTTACTGCTATATATCCTGGTTTTTTTCCTCTGATATTAAGTGTAAGAGTACAAGCATGGTGTGCTGGTATGTTTTCAGAACAACTTTTTGCAAGCATCTCTCAGCAGTTTTAGTTGAACATTTACAAAACCAACACCTCTGAAACTGGTAACTTGGCTAATATGCAGACTGATTGCAAGTTTCCAGTTTCCTTCTATTCTTTGAATTATAATCCTAATATTTAACTTTTTTTTCAATAAACAACAGGATTAAGACTTGATATACGTATTCTAACATGCAGGCATGGTGGTTTTTTTGCCAGTATCCTGGAAGTGAGGCCCTTCTAAAGCATAATCAAACAAACAGAGCGCCAACTGGGTGTTGCACCTTGCAGGTTAATTAGGTAATAGAAAGTAACTCATGGGGAAAACAGTAATAGGAACAAATATGAATGCTTGAAGTGGCTTTTAAAGGATTTCTGGGTACTTTCTGTAGTGCCACTTGACTGCAAGTGCCAATAGCTACAGGAAAGGTAAATCTAAAACACCTTTCTCTGTTCTTTTGTTTGTACTCACCCTCCACTTATGTCCTCTGTGGGTAAAATTTGGCCTATGATGTGCTGCCAAGTGAGAAAGGGCAGCTAGTTTACAGCTTCTCTATACTGTCTCCTTTCTGGAAGGAAGAGGCATTCTGAAGTAGGTATCAGGAACACCAAGAAACACCATAACGCAAAGAAGTAATATATTGCGATGTACCTTAGGCAAAATTCTTTGGCATGGTTTTGCATTTTCACAGTAAGCAGTGAACAAACATATGGTGAAATAATTTCAAACACAATGTACTCATGCTACAAAGTAAATCTGGAGGGACTCCAATGTCTGTAACTACAATGTTCTGAAAATGTCGTAAAATCTGAAATACACCTTCTCAGTCAGTTGTTAAAACCTGTATGTTCAATTTGATTGTTATATTGGGTTAATAATATTGGGTTAATACTGGGGAGAATATTAAATCTGTTCTTCTGAGGAAAGCTGTTTTCCATTGTTGCAGATACAAAGAATGACCAGCATGGTTCTTCCAAAGATGTGTTTGCACTTATAGTAAAAGTCATTAAAAACCAGTGTCTGGTGGAGAGAACTCATTCGTTGGTGCTTAATGCTTTGAACAGGGTATAGTTAAACCTTTATTCTAATGAATGTTGTCACTATTTTGCACTTGCAATGGTGAATCATTTGTAAGTTTTAGTTCTGCTTTGATTTTACTGTTGATTTGATAGAGTTAATCTTAACTCATGGGTTTTAATTATCATCTGGGGTTTCTTCTTACTTTCTGTTCTGGCGTGTATTCGATGATCCTTTATACAGTAACTCTAAAGGATATTTACAAAAACAAGGCTATTTTTTTTCCAAGCATACAGTTATTTGTGATTATTTTGATGGACTAGTTTGTACATTAAAAGTGTTCTCATACCTACACCTCAACTACACATAGAACTGAGTGGTTCTTTATTATGGCTTTCATGGATACATACTCCTTTGTTTTCAACAGAAAAGAGTTTCTCCGTTGTCTCCGTTCTTTTCATTGTTCAATTCTATAACTTTTTCCAGACACTGGAAAACAGAATGATCGCAGTGCACTGAAGGGAAAGCTGAAAAGTGAAAGGCTGAAGCAGAACCAGTCTAACCAAAGGAAGCACTGGGCACTTTGCACAGCAAATTAACTTTAAATCCTAGTGATAGGAAAGGTTTAACTACATGGCCTTTAGAAGAATCCCACCTCTACAAGGTTTACGAAGTTCACATGACCACAATCAAAATGGATGTAGAAAGTCACAATTTTTTAGAAGTCTCTGATCAATTTTAAGCTTGCCAACACCTACAGTCAAGGAAATTTATGTCTCTTACATTTATGATAAAACTCAGAGCAAATAATGTATCAGCAAGAGTGCTAGAATGTCAAAAGGACGTTTCTTGACCTGAAGATATGGGAGTTAACAAGGGAAGCAAAATAATTTTTACTTCAGAATGTGTTACAGTCTCCAGTGCTTTGTGACCATCCTGATTGCTTTTTCTGACCCAGCTGGTTTGTGTTTTGGAGTACTACAATATCAACCAGAAGGGATAGAAATTAACATATTGTAATGAAAAATTAGAGAAGGAGTAAGGAGGAAGATGGGCATGACTCCACTGAAATAATTTTTCACACTGTGACAGCTATGCACACTTTCAGATCTAGGCCTCGTCTAGGTTTCCTCCATCTTGAAGTGTGAGAAAAATGGGAAAAATAATCACAAATAACCTATTGAATTGCTATATAGCTAAACCAAAAACTTTTAAAATCTTGATGGGGTGTGGTAATAGGTATGTTGCTTTATACCTTTTTCTTTTCATATTTTTTTCAGTTACCACCATGTTTATCATTTGTGCAGGTTCTCAGAGAGCCCCATTTTTGTTCCTTTTTAACCACAAAGGAATTACATTTTCTCACTCTCCTTGTCCTACAGCAAAATGATGTGAACTTGTGAATGGCTGTACTGAAACTTGGAGGAAAAGAAACCCCACTTTCCATTAGAAAACTAGCTGGGAAATATTTTCAGAATCAAAGGTGAAAATCTGGGGAGGTTATGAGCAGCTGAAACTGATGGTTGAAAAGGAGACCTTTTTTAAATTGTTATTATTGTTATTTATTGTCACGTCAGCTGTAATTTCGCATACTTTAAGAACAGCAGTCACATGTACTCTAGGAACAAGCAGCTCTTCTGTTGCCATTGTAAGCAGAACAAACTTGATCTGATTTTATATTCATTTCTCCATTAGTTTATTGGAAATCCTAACATTCAGAAGTGTGGATTAAAACTACTTGCTGCTGTAGCTGAGTTACCTTGTGTACCAGAAATTTTAACGCGGCAAGGAGCTACTGACACTGTGCTTCACACTCTACAGATGTATCCAGACGAACAAGGTAGGGAAGGTATTTTGTTAGTTGAATGTAAATGATGTAGTAGAAAGGGCTGATTAACCATAGAAGCTGTAACCTGTCTATTACACTCTTTAGTACTGGATGTGATGTAGGTTATATGGCAAGAAAAGGCTGCAGTACTGCGTAGTCCTCAGGTTCACCCACTGTGTAGTTACACCTGGCCCTGAAGTAGCTTATGCGTGTAATTTTCTGGAATATTAGTGATATAACACTGCTTAGGTCAGGGGTTTATTCCACTCAGAATGTCTGAATAATCAACATTATTAATCTTTCTTTTTTCTTGTAGACATACAATGCTTGGGTTTGAGTCTTCTACGCTCTTTGATTACAAGAAAGAGTTTGTGTATTGCAACTATGCATGTTCTGTCAACAGTTCTGGTTTCTGCTCTGCGACGATTTAAAGAGGTCACTGAAATCCAGATGCATGTATGTGTTATTTCTGTGTACAAAGATGAAAGTGAAAGGCGAAACTTTAGAAAATTATTTTAATGTGGTTATGTTTGAAGTATAGTTCCTTATTTTACTTTATTTTTATTTTATTGCAATTACTAGATTGTTATAAGCCTTTAAAATTAAACTAATATGTGTGCCATCCAGATGGTTTTCTTGGAGACATATGTTCAATACAAAATATGTAAGCATAGGTTTAGGTGTTTATGGAAGACTTCTGAGATCTGCAAACTAGAACAAATTTCTCAGTCATGGTCCACCATTCAGTCAATCTATAACCATCTAATGATGTAGCCTTCATTATAGTATTGATCTCCCTTTTTTGAAAAGTAATAGAAAACAACTTAGTTCCCAGTCCTGTCACCAGCAATCAGCTTAGTGTAGGAATGCTGTATTTAAGGATATTACTGGAATACTGTGTCAGACTTATGATCTACTTCTGAATGTGGAAGGAGAGTTCTTATTCTGTCTGCATACATGTGTAGAGTCCTCCTTCCGTGAAAGTTCTGTTGCCTCTGCTTCAGAAGCTTTCCCTTTTGTTGCCAGTTTCATTTTTCTAGTGAAATAGAGCATGCCTGTGGGATCAGCTTCCTGTGAGAGTTTCTGTACTTCTGTTTCAGATCAATACGGAAATATCACAAGTGCAGCCTCCCTTCCGGCTCCTCACTGGCTTAGAGGCCAGCGTAGAGAGAAATCAAAATAACGTGGTGGAATAAGGAAGTTACTTAGAGTGATTTAGTCTCAATTAGATTTGGACAAAGAGTCTGTAATTTACCCAGTTCACCCTTCTAGGTGAACTTTCCTTGCAGAATCATGGGATAATTTTGTATTTCTTTTTAATTTTTAGATATACATGTTAAGTTTTTCATTTAGCCAATGTATTTTTTTTCGAATTCAAGGCTTACAGAGCAACACATTGGCAGAGGGGATGCATCTCCATCCCATAGCCTAAGATTGTTTCCTCTGTACATTTTCAGGAAATGACAAGTTTATTTGTCACTGCCAGTCAGGATATTGTCAGATATTATGGTGCATAATTTGGCTTTTGGAAGTGTCAGTTAATATCTGTTTAAGTGGGTCAGCTAAACAGCCATGAAACTACAGCTGTATAAACACAGACACACCAGGTGTTTCTGCCTTCTCTCCTGATCTTCTCCAATTTGCAAGTTTAAAAGCAAGACAAAAAAAATAAAGCACATATCTTTTGGTTGAAATATGATTTTGTTGCACAACCTGTTTTAAAGTGACGCTTTTTAACACTGTATTTATTCCAATCTTCTCATTGTATTCTTAGGGATTTCATGCAATCTTGTCAATTCTCAGTTTGTCACCTTGTTTTGCAAAGCTGCTGGTACTTGAATCATTTGACACAGTGATTTTCTACCAGATGTCCATGTGTTTCACCAACCAGCGAGATCGACAGGTATCTTCTCTCTTTTGACAGCTCCACAGCTGAAAAATGTTGGTGTTTTTTTGTCCTAACTTTGATTGTTTGTCTTCCCATTCAGTTTCAAAGCCTGTGTTGTAAATGTTTTGCTAAAATGGCTGAAAATGATGATTTAAAAAATCTGATGCTGGAGAAAGCATGTATTGAGTACAATAGTATCATGGCTGAATGTTTACTTCTACTGGGAGCTGATATTAATAAGAAGACAAAGACAAACTCTTTGATCTATCAGGTAATATATGGAAATATATGTAGTTTTATTGCTTTAAAATTTGTTCTTTTGGGTTCCTTTCTCTTGTCATGTAAACATATATTTGGCAGAACACAGCAGCAATACCCAGTGCAATCTACCTGTGACCTGAGGTGGTGTGAACCATTGCTACTCATGGTGACTTCAGGCTCAATCTGATGTTCATTGAAACACCCTCACTTCATTGAAGCTCACAGAGTCACTGTCACCTAGAATATGCTCACACTGCCAGTTTAGTTCTCATGCAAGTTCACTTTGAAGTCCATGCTTTTTGGTTGCTTACCCTGTTCACATACAAACCTGGGTTTGATCAAATACTGACTTAGCCTTAGCTTTGGAGTATTTTTGAGCAAGAAGACTTAAGCTCGAGCTTTGCAAACTCCCAGTCATTTTTTTCTGAACTAATCAGGCATAAATGTCATCAATCCCATTAGAGCCCAGTCCATGAACTGATGTTCCAAATTCAGCTCTTTCCAGCCTCTACGAGGCTGAAGTACAGATGGACCAGCAGGCAGCACACAGATAGGTTTCAGTGTGCGTAGTCCCACTCTGTTCTAGACCTGCAAAGAAGACTTAGACCAGAATGCCTGCCCTGGAATGGTGGATTTTTTTTTTTTTTTTTTACTTTGTGTTGTACTTAAAGATGAATATAGACATCAGGCTGGGGTGGGGGTTTTTGTGCTGATTTAACTGTTCTGGTTAATGTTCTGACTTTCTATCAACACGGCTAAAGTAATATAACATCTTGGAATGCCTTCAGTCACACTAGCTCCGAAGAACTTTATCCAGACAGTGGCCACATCCAGAGCGTCACTATTTGAAATATGTTGATGTCTTAAATGAGGCCATAGGCAAACATCCCATCTGGATTCAGCCATGCCAACAGAGAGGCTGTTCCCACCTGCTTATAAGTGCTCCTTGCTAAATGTGACTGCCCTTAAAAAAATTTTTTAAGAAATAGTGACTATGAGCAATTCTTAATTTTGCTTCAGTGTCAAAGTTTTAAGCGGTCTAAGATAACTCCACCAGTACTGCCTGAAATTAATTAGGAAGTGTTCACTCCTGCTGGCAGAGCTGGCTGGGTGATAAAGCGCAGCTGAGTTTGGAACTGACCATCCATCCGTGGAGACTGAGGTAGGCAAATTAGTGTTAGTAAACCACAGTGGAAATACTGAAGTATGTGTAATATTCACAATCAACACTGCTCTAATGTAGGCTGAGAAACTGGAAGGAGTAAAGCAGACTGAAGCCAGCAAACATGAGCTTCCTAGCGCTAGGCAAGGCTTGATGAGTCTCACCATTGTTGTGGGTTCCTCTGATATCCCAGTGACGTGGCAAAATAACTCCTAAGTGTCTTTTTCCCACTGAACAGATAAATAAATGGAGTTGCCATAGACCACATGCAGTCACCAAACTATATAAATTACCATTCATTTTTGCCTGGAAATTGTGTACACTCATGGCAGAAATTACAATTACAGAACTCAGGCATTTGTTATATTTTGGGCAAAGACTTCAGGAAAATGGGAGTTGGTACTCTGATACCTTAGGCAGGCATATTCTGAGGGGTAGGGAATTACGTAATTGAAAAAAAAGACATGATCCTAAAAATATAGTTAATCTGAATTTGAGACAAGTCTCTTAATGCAGTCTGAGCTGTTGTTTGAGTGCCTTGCGTAATTTTTTTAATTGCTTTTCTCTGTTAGGTTTGTGAAAAAGGAAATAACCCTAAATTGGTGGAACTGCTGTTAGCCAATGGTGCTCGAGAGCAGGATGTTCGGAGTGCTTTGACCATCAGTATAAAGAGAGGAGACAGCCAAATCATCAGCTTGCTCTTGAAGAAGCTTAGTCTTGATGTTGCCAACAGCAGTATATGTCTTGGAGGATTTGGTATTGGGAGACTAGAACCTTCCTGGCTCATCCCATTGTTCCCAGATAAAATTACTCCATTAAGAAAACAAAGTGAGTATATATAGAATTTGCTGGAAGATAGATCTGCTGGTGATGTTAATATCTCTTGATGGTAAGTGATTTAGATCAGGACCTTCAGCTGAGGATCTCTTCATAGCATTCAGCTGGTTATAGAAAGACTGACAAACCTTGAAAATAAATCAAGTTATTTCTGTTATTCTTTTAAAGCTATTTGGATTTCTTGATTATGCTATCTTTTCGGTTTCTTACACATACAGATGCAGGTTCTGCACTGGCAAGAATGGTGCTTAAATTCCAGATGAGGACTATTTCAGAGGATAGATCAAGAGCCTCCTCTGATCTAAACTTCTCTGAAGATGGAGTGGATAAAAACTATGATTGGAATTTCATTTCTGACCCTTTAGTGGACAGTGTTTTTCCTTTGACTGATGATATTGATAGTGAAGGTAATTGTTTTTCTTTTCTTTTTTCTTTTTATAACCCCAATTTAGTGTACCAGGGCTAGACCATAGCCATAAATTGGTTAGTTTTTTTGTATTTGAGATAAAACACCTCGCATGAAAAAAATACTTTTATCTAAAATTTTGTCTGTGTTACCGTTGGAAAATAGCTTATGGTGAGTAAGTACGTCCTTTTCTACAAAATTAGGACCTTAAAGCATTTTGTTCAGATATCCATTTAAAATTAATTCTTCACGCATTCGGTTTATTGTAGAGAGAAAGAGTGGGATTCATCCAACCAAATTTAGATATTGACTATTTTGATGTCTGTTTCTGAGCTATTCTCTTATGCTGCCTTGATAGTCAATAGCAAAAAAGCAAGAGCTTCAAGAGCACTTTGTCTCATCATGAAAGCAGGTGTATTGTGATCTAGAAACCACTGTTCCCTGGGTTTTCTGTAAATAAAGTGTGCACAACCAAGGCTGGTATAGACTATATTGTTAACAAATAAAGTAGGTGAAAGAAGTCCTAACCCAAAGATATCTAATTGGTCAGAAAGTGTAAGTGACAAGTCTGTGTTCAGTCCAGCATCATTTTCGGTAACCATGTCAGGAAATCTGAATGCCTTTAATTTATAAAAAGACAGCATTTCTGTCTATAATATTGGTAATTTAATAATAAGAGTTAGTGGCTTTAATTGACAACATGCCTTTTGTTTGTTCAGATGTGACTGTTGTTTTAGAACTGTTGGATACTTAAAATCATCACAGCGGAAGAATTTGAATTTTGGAATCAGAGAATCCTAAGGAATTTTTTTGGTTCTGTTTGTTCTTTTCCTTTACATCACTCATCACCATTTTTCATTTCTGCACAACTGTAACACAGACATATAATAAGTAGTATTTGTTGTCCCACATAGAAAAGTTGTTAAGTCATATGTAAATTATGGTTAAAAAAATACAGGCTTTGCTAATGAGTGATTTTAGGAGTTTTAAAAGAGGAACACTAAATGGGTCCAGATAACCCTAAATCACCATAACCAGAGTGGCATTTGATGTTTCATTCTCAATAAATGTGGAAGTGCAAATTTACCTATTAAAATGCAAGCTTCTTCGATTTTAAAAAGTTATTTACACTGCAGTAGTGCAAAGATGTGTTACAAAACATGTATAGTAATCCCAACTTGCTGGAAATTTTAAATGATGAAGCATCAATGTAGCAAGCTACAGGTCGTATTTGGAGCATGTCAGGTTAGTATCGCCCATGTCCTCTCAAACGTGTTGACAAGATTCTTGGACTGTTGCACACACAGTTAACCAGTGAGAACCTGCCATATTGATGCTTTTGAAATGTATCTCTCCTTTTTATGTCAGCATCTATATTACAGTTGAATTCTGAGCCTTATCTTTAGATAAATTTTCTTACTTATTTGTCCTCCTGTGTTATTGTTTTGTGCTAGGAAGTGAAGGTCCGCTTTTTACAAAAAAGAAGTCCAATTCCATTGCAGTTCTTGACTTAAATTGTAAGGAAATGGCATTTCAGAGAGGTTCTCCTACTTTGCCACGACATTCCTACTCTGTGGTGAGTCATATCCTTATTCATTCCAGACTTCTCACAAGTCCATCTGTGTTGCCTACAGCAAAATTTTAATAATCAAGTGTTAGGAAAGGTCATGGGCTCTTGTCTCACTGCTGCCATTTAATATTTCCTTCTGTTGCTATGCAATTACTGTGCTCCAGATCACTGTATAGATGAGAGTTTATTTCAGCAAAAATTTATGGTCAATAAAAAGTACAAATTCTTGTGAATTGCTCAAATTTCTGGTCTGATGTTCAAATGCAGATACAGAAACTGTGGGCCTGTTCGCAAAGACTTAACTACCCCTTAGTTAAGCTAATTTTCAGAGTGCTACTGTGATCAGTGAAGAGAGACCCATTCTGTAAGGAGACGTAAGAGGACAAATTAGTGGAATCCAAGTCAGGTTCCTTTGAAAGGAGCTTGTCTCTTTCCATTGACTGTAAAAGGAAACTGGAGAGACTAGCTTCCCTAGAGAAAGTTATTTTTCGTAATATCTGGCTCCATCCTGTCACCCCACCCTAGTGAAAGTCATTTTAGATTGCCAAAAAATGCACTACTTCATTGCACTTTAAATCTACTGTTCTTTCATATTGCATGGATCAGTAAGTTTTATAAAGATGAGAGCTATTGTTATTTTTAGTTAAAATGTACCATTTCTTTGTGTTCCCCCTGGAAGTTCTGATAAAAAGAAACCCCAATAAAAAGAAGTTTATTGAATTCAGATCATTTCAGTTATCTGCATATGTCCATAACTGGTTTTTGTTCTCTTCTGGGATTTTCCAGGGACCTGGCTCAGATTATGAACCATTAATGAAACAAAGAAGAAAATTCCTGCCTTCAGATGAATCCCTCAGTAAGTAAACTATACAATTTAACATATATAACAGATTTTTCATCCTTAATGCATTCACAAGTGTACCATAAAAAGATTATAGTCAGATTGTGTATTTATTTACAAAGAGCAGGATACAGTTTGTAAATATTACAGCAGAGTACAAATGATGCATACATAGGGATCAAATAATTTATGTCAAATTAAACAGGCAATGAAATTTCATGAGTTCCCTTATTAGCTTTCAAAAGCTACTTCTGTTGTGCAGTGCATAAGCGTCCATCTCTTCCCTACTATCTTATAGACTTCTGTCTCTTAATAGAAGTCTTTGTGGATTTGGTTCTTAACCAATATCCAAGCATTCACTGTCTTCTGCATCTTTAGATCCCAGATTGATTGATCATAATTTTAATTACATGATAAATGAAATAATGCAATTTTTCACGTTTTTGTCTTAATAGAAGGCATCTCAAAATTTTCACCACATATAAGACCATCAGACAGTCTTTCTTCGTTGATCTCGGACAAAGAATATATTAAATCACTAGATCTCTCATCAAATGAGCTGGAAAACATTGATGCCATCAGCCAGAATAGCTGCTTAACTAGTCATCTGGAACATCTTGAGAAACTGGAGCTCCACCAAAATGCTCTTACAAACATTCCAGAACAACTGTGTGAAGTAATTCTGCATAATTTTCCATAATACAATAAATTGTTTGTCTCTAACAGTGTACCTGTTGGAAATATTGGGTGTGCATTTTTGCATATATTATAGTTTCATTCAGTGGATTCAGCTAGAAATAGAAGTATTTTCATGGAACAATTTTGAGTCATTTACTGCAGAGAACTGCTTTCGAATGCATTATACTGAGTAATGTAATAACATAAAAGGAACCAAGAACTGGATGCAATTCATATCTGTTAAATTTTATGAAACCATGATAATTAAATTTGAAGAATTCTCTATATTATATTGTGTAATAGAAATATTATGGGTTGTATTGATATGTTTGCTATTTTATGCTATTTTTCCTAGTGAGAGAGATGTAAGTAAATTAATAAATTTGTAAAAGATATCTCAATTTAAAACCTTTAAATTCATCTTTTCATTTAACTTTTTAAAAACAAATTATCCTTTTCTTTCAGAACTTGAAATGCTTGACTTACTTGGATTTGCACAGTAACCGATTTACTTCTTTTCCAACTTATTTACTGAAAATGAATTGTATTGCAAATCTTGATATCTCTCGAAATGACATTGGACCTTCCTTTGCTTTGGATCCATACCTCAGATGTCCAACTCTAAAGCACCTTAATCTTTCATACAATCAGCTGGTGTGCACTCCTGAATGTCTTTCAAATGTTGCTGAAAATCTGGAACAGCTATCACTAGAAGGGTGAGTAGCATTAGCAAATGGATTGTAGCAAAGAAAATAATATGTTTGTCATCGAGAATGATGACTGTTATAACATGGAAAGGATTGTTTAGTCAGCAGTGGAACATTGATATTATCTTCTAAATGTATAAATTGCTACAATTTTCAGTGTTGTGTTACGAAGAGCATGTGAATATCTGTGGACCTTCATAGAGTCTGATAGCATTGCAGTTCCAGTAACATACTAAAAATGTTCAACTTCAGTCGTTTTCTACTGACATACTATTAATCCACAGGACTGTCTGTGTTGTCTAACATATTCAGATAGGTTTTCTGTATACAGAATACATTTTCCACTGTATTTCATATTCATCAAAGGTTTTTTGGAAGTATGATTCATGGAATTGTTTTTGTTGGTACAGATATGTTATAAATGACAGAAGCAAAGAAAATTTGTAATTTTTTGTTTACCAGCACTCTGTCATATTTGGTGGTGAGTGAGATAATTCACACCTACATGGAATTCTTAAGAATGCTGTTATTCATAGCTCTGTAAACTGCAGATACTGTCTCATTCATCTCCCGTATTTTATTTTAATAAGATGCTGGTATTTTTTACACAGAAGTTCACACAGAATAGATAGCAACATGTTACTAAAGCAAGCAGGATCAAATATGTGAATAAAATTTGCAAAAGCAATGTTTTAAATTGAAAATCTTCATTAGTTTTATTTTGAACTTTATTAGCAATATTACCCTTGCAAAACAGTGCTGCATGGTTCTTTTATCTCTGTATTTTCAGCACCTTTGTCTCTTTTTTTTTCTGTTCTTCTTCTTCCCCGAATACATTGTTTGTAACATTATATACTCATCCTGAATTGTATGCCCTATATGGAATTCCTTTTATTTTTTTAATAAATAGTAATTCTGTAATTATAATCGAGCAAACACGTATCTTTAGTAAACAACTACTAACAAATGCATCAGTCCACTTTGTGTGGGATTGAGCTGCAGTATGAAAACAGGAAATGACACCTTGTAGTACATTCTGACATTTGGTCTCCAAATTAATTAGAACAATCTTAATATTAGTCATGTTATTTCATGTTGCCACATATACCAGTATTTTTGCTGACTGGTCAGTCTTTATATAGATAAAAGTTTTATTTTTTGTTTAACAGTGTAAGGATAGCATTGTCAGATAAATACTCTTTACTTTGACTTTTTAGCTAATAGTTTCTGAATAAAAAGTGGATTATTTTTTTCTTCTTGTTATCATAGAAACAAAATTTCGTGCTTATGTTCACCCATATGCTTGAAAGAACTGAAGATTTTAAACATTAGTAAGAACAATATTTCATCCCTTGCTGAGAATACCTTCATGGGCTGTACAAAACTGGAGCAGCTCAACGCCAGGATGAATGCTCTTGGTAAGTATCTGTGAAAATAGGATCCACCTTCTAGAAACCGTTCCAAGTCACAAATTCCTCAGCTTCAGCATTTGGAACCTTGGGAGAGCAGAAACAGAGAATAATACCACACATGCTTGTCCTTGTTTATACAGTTCCCTAAGCATCAGCTTTTGATCACTGTTGGAAGCGCTATCCTTCCAATAGGGCTTGATGGCATTTGATCTGAGTCAGCATAACTCATCTTGTTTTTACATTTGTAGTGGATGCTATAAAAATGGTTGAGTGTACTTGAGATTGTACATTCTGTTGGGGAAGGTTCAAGGCAGAGGAAATCGTTTAAAGTTATCTTGCAAATCTAGTACTAATAGGTTTAATACTGAACTGAAATACATATCATACAAGCGTCCCACCTCTCCAGCCTGTCCGGGTCCCTCTGGGTGGCATCCCTTCCCTCCAGCATGTCAACGACACTACACAGCTTGGTATCGTCAGACAACTTGCTGAGGGTGCACTCGATCCCAGTCTTAAGGGTCTTTTCCAACCTAAATGGTTCTATGATTCTGTTACCCCCACTATATACAATGTTGTCTTCTGAATAAGAGAAAATGTTTGATTCACTTGCCTGAATGCAGGTGTCATTTGAGATACCCTGAAGTATCCCATTTGGCTTGCAGCTGCTGGTCCAGAAAAAGCAGGTCTTCCGTAGCTCCTATGTTGTATCTCTAAGCCATGTGCAGATGGCTCAGGTACCACAGGGCAGATCACCTTCACTAGAACCTATTGTTTAAGCAATTGAATTGAGTTCAGAGTGTGTTTCAGTAGTTTGGCATATTTTATGCAAAGGTGTCAAAATTAGTTTACCTATGAAAAATACAAATTACATAAATGAGATTTTAATTATAGTGCAGGAGTTCCTAAGTTACTGTCAGAATTTATTTTTCTCTTCAAGATGCAAAATCTTCCATTTTGAAATTATTGTCACAGTATTTCAGAAGGTAGCTCTTATACCTGCGTTAAACACAGCTGATCCATTAGAGTCATATTTGTGTACATAAGACCCACCATTCACTGGGTGAATTATGGGAATGTTAGGTACATTGGCAATACAGTAAAAAGTAAGATTATTTCAATGCTTAATGCCAACATGCGATGAAGTATAATAGTATGTAGTATTATAGAAGCCAACACATGAACTTGGTTCTAAACTTCTTTCATTTGGGGAGTTTGGTTTTAAATAAGCTTTAAAAAAAAGTCAAATTCTGCCTTTGGTAGCTTGTACAAAGACCTGTGTATAGAAGATGATAGACTGACCTTTAAGTCTGACTTTGATTTTAGAAAATTTTAGTCTTAAAAAGAATTTAATAATTTCTGAAAAGTAATAGGATTAACCTCTTTTTCTGCTTTAGAAGTGATACCTGACTTGTCATCCAGCATAACAAGCTTAAAATTGTCCCAAAATTGTTTTGTTAGTGTTCCAGAAGCAATTCTTCTTCTACCACAGTAAGTTATTATTTTATTTATTGAAGTTAATGTCAAGTTCTTGATAAAGAAAATCTGATGGCAAGACCTTTGTTAAGCATAAAATTCTGCATGTTTTACTGATTTTCAGGAAGTCTTCTCTAACAGGTTAAATCCAAAACTGAGTAGCTTTTAAATTAAGACAAATCAGTCACATTTTTATCAATATTTTGAGAAATTACCTTCCTCAGATTCAAATTGTTGTTATTGAGAATGTTTTACTTGAGTGCTGAAGCTGACAATTCTTGGAGAGAAGACCAGAATTAATTTATTATTTTCTTGAAACGAACAGTGAAAAGATACTGGCATTTTTTACTTTTCAAGAAGTTCTACAGACTTCTGCACAAGGCTTCTGAGATTAGTTTTTCACTTCCCAAATATCACAAGATATTTTATTCTCAAAGAATGACACTTCCTCCAGATGGAATTGTGATAAAGACACATGTGACATTTATTTTGCTATACCTTCAAAGTGTTACCCATGTGAAAATCAGACTTCTGCTTTCTTTTATAGAAGTTACTGACCTTAATGGGTCACTAGAATCGGATTGTGGAAGGAGTGCTTGGAAGGGATGATCAGATCATTTATCTGATAGATGTGGGTAGAAAAGAGTGCTGATGGCACCATGGGGAGGGCAGATCCACGGATTTGTGAACTTACATTAATCAAATTTACATAGAGCACATAATTATTAACATGATGTTACACTGTTTCAGCATGCTGATATTTATATTCACAGCCGCAAATTCAATGGATGTGTTGAAAAAGGTGGAGATTTCAGGTTCTACAGGTCCCAGCCCAGACAAATCAATAAGGAGTTGCATGGATTTTTTGCATGCTGTGTGTTCCACAGTAACATAAACAGCATTTTTGTCCAACAGATGACTTACAGAAATGAAATGTTCTTTTTTACATAGTTCTTAAATACATGTGTAGTTGAACTCTATAATTTATTCACATACATGTATTTACAAACATACATTCATAGAAACGTTCTGATAAGTGTGTGAGGTACCCATATCGTCTGATACTAGTCTCCTAAGTCAGAAACAAGAAAGAGAGCAGTTCAGGTGACCTAGTGAGGCTCCATAGTTTGTAAGTGGAATCTTGGGTTCTAGAAAGTTGATAATACCAGGAAGTTCCCCATTGCTTTTTTTTAATTTGAAATTTGTTAAGAAGTCCATGAAAATACATATTAGTATTAAGCTAGATTGCAGTTAGCTTTTTAAATACATTTATTCTAATAAGTTAGACATTGCACGTAACAGTGTACTCCATGGTCCTGCACTCAGCTGTAGCTGGAATCCTGAGTTAAACACTATTCTCTGTTAATTTGGTATAAATGTATATTAACTATACTGTTTACAGTTGAATTACTGAATATTTGCACTACAGGAGTGTGAATCATATTTATCTGTGTCTTGTACTAATCTGAACAGAGCCATGCATGTCTGCAAATTGTAGAAAGAAGTGGACTATTATCACAATATGTGCACTTATTTAAAGCGACTCTTTAATTTACCATCTGAAACTTACACACACAGTACAGTGTGGATGTTTATTTTCATGACAAGGCAATTTCATTCACAGATAAATACACTGAAATAATATTGTACTGAATCAATCATATGTATTTTCTTATAGTGTTTTCTGAGGTAATGAAGACCTACTTATAACGTCTTAATTACTTTTGCTCATATTAGTTATTATCTTCTTCTGTCTACATTCCTGTCTGTTCTGCTATCTAACCCTTTTGTTTATTTATTAAAAATTAATACAGTTCCAGTTAATGTCAGTTTGATTTTTTTCATTTCCTAACTTGTCTTTTTTTTATTATCATGTTTTTAGTTTGCGATCTGTAGATTTAAGCCAAAACAAGATCGTAAGCCTGCCTGGACCAATGCACTGGAAATCATTGAACTTAAGGGAGCTGTTATTTAATCATAATCAAATAGACATCTTGGACTTGAGTGAAAAGCCATGTACATGGTCTAGGCTAGAAAAGCTACACCTGTCCCACAACAAGTTAAAGGAGGTAAAGTGTAAGATTCTACCTAAAGAAAATTAAATTGTTTTTCAATTGAATGCAATTTTTCAATGTTCATTTGATTTTCATGTCACTTCTCATATAATTGTAAATCCTATTAGTAAAATGGTAAGTGCAAATAGTACTTCCTGTGAGTGAAAATCACCGTTTTCTGTTAAGCTTTTCTGCCTGGAATGTGCATATAATCAGTTAGTATAATGAATTCATTATAAGGACCTTTGTCTATTGGTGTGGAATATTAGGCCTGTTTTATTAAAAAAAAGTTAAACTACAGCAGTAAAAAGAATATCTAGTTTTGTTAAATATTTAGTGTATTGATGCTCATACTTTTTTTAAACATTTAATTGCCCATTAAATGTTCTTTTATTTAGATTCCTCCTCAGATTGGCTTCCTAGAGAACTTGACTTCTCTAGATGTAAGTCATAATCCCGATTTGAGATTCTTTCCAGATGAAATGGGGAGACTGTCCAAAATCTGGGATCTTCCTGTGGAAGGACTCCATCTTAATTTAGACTTCAAACATGTGGGATGCAAAGCCAGAGACATTATCAGGTTTGTCACCTTATTGTTCTTGAATATTCTTGTTTTACTTTCTTGGGATATGCAGGAAGCATTAAGAAAACAACATATCCTTTTGAGAATCCAGCATGCTACTCTGTGGAAGGTATCATATAATATCATATCAACACACACACATAAAAGAGATCGTAGTGATTTAGACTATGATAGTATTACTTCTTGAATTTGGTGCCTCTATAAACCATACATTAATTGGTGCTTACCAATTATTTCTAATATATTTCCCATGTTGACGAGTGCATTGCACAGAGCACATTTTTGGGTAATTACAAAAAAATTTAAAAAGACACATTCTGAATTAAGCTTTAACTTTCAAATCAGAAATTAGAATAGACTGTTAAAACCCCACTAATATCAAACAGATATTGAAAATTTGAAGAAAATGGTATGTGCTTAGATTTTTCCTTGGTCTTAAGTTCTGTTGATATTTTTCTTTATTATACACTTCTGTGAGTTCCGCAAACTTTTTTATGCCAGATTTCTTCAACAACGATTGAAGAAGGCTGTGCCTTATAACAGAATGAAGCTCATGATTGTTGGAAACACTGGCAGTGGGAAAACTACCCTGCTACAGCAACTAATGAAATGCAAACGAACAGAACTGGGCTCTCCGAAAGCGACAATAGGCATTGATGTAAAAGACTGGATCATTCAAGGGAAAGGCAAAATGAAGAAAGAGCTTATCTTAAATGTGTGGGATTTTGGAGGTATTTGAAAAGCTTATTATCCTTTACTATTGTATTTTCTAACATATTAATGCATTACTCATTCTTAGAGTCATCCTGTGAAATATCAAAGTGAGGACAGCAGAATCATTCAAACTTACACCAAAAGTCAAGTGACTACTTAGAAATTAGTGAATTCTGTGAACTGGCAGCTAATCCCTCAAATTTAATATAAAACATCAGTTTCTCATCACCAAATGTGGTCTGACCACTTTTTTCAACCATAGCACTCCAGAACTGTAATTTCAGAATAGTAAGAAATTGCTTGTAATCACCAGAGAAATCATCTTCCACTCAACTCTGTTTCTCCCTTTTATCGTCTGGATCTCTCTAGGCTCTACAACGTCATTGTTTCATAAGGTCACAGAAAAAAAAATGTCTTAAGAGGAGTCTTTGAACTTTGGGCTTTTGGAAAATCTTTTTAAGTTTGGGGGACTCCAGAAGCACTTCTAAAATTCTGGGGTGTTTTAGGCTGTAGAGAAGTTATTTTTAAACTTTGGTCCATGTTCATTTGAATGCAGTCTATATTGCAATGGATAAGCACAGAAGAGCAGCATTCAGGCTGAATGTCCAGCTTCAGTTGTGGTTTTAAGTGCTTAATCATGTGAACTTAGAAGTCTTATTTTGGAGTTGCTGAAAGGATAGGAGAAAGGGAGGGAAAAAGAAAGGAAGGGAAGGAAGGAGTGAGGGAGAAATTCAATATTGGAGTTTTAAAAGAATCATGACCTTTCAAGTTGTCTTTGCAGCAACCGTGCTTATCCAGTTGTTAAATCTTACACTTCTTGATTTAAAACTAGCTTACATATACTACACAATACTACGCTTCAGTCAATGAGCTACTACAAGTACCTACCTAAAATTCATAGTTATTAGAGTTTTCCTGACAATTTAGATAATTTTCTGTAAACATTAATTTCATTTGTGAATTAGAGATCTGAGAATAAGTGTTCTGCTGCCTTTTTGTGATCTGAAGATGTTCAGTGAGGGAAGTACTAAACAGTGGAAATTTTTTATCATTAGGACAAGAAGAGTTCTACAGTACCCATCCTCATTTTATGACCCAAAGAGCTTTATATCTTGCTGTTTATAATATCAGCAAAGGACAAGCAGAGGTGGATGCTATGAAGCCATGGCTTTTTAACATCAAGGTAAGACACAGATATGTACAGAATGGAAATCTACTTTCCAGGGAGCTGTTGGTGAACAGCAAATAAACTACAAATATTTTTAAAAAGGTGAAGAGGAAAGAAGCTCTTCAGCAAATAAAAACAGTAAGCTGAAACAAGAGCTGAAATACATCATATATTGGAAATGAAAATATTTGTAGACATGCAAGACATGATCAGCACCATTTTGTACTTAAAATGGTACAGAGTGATCTGCAAAAGAACAGTTTGTATATTCTAGCAATATTTTGAATTGACTGATAAAAATAAGAAAGTGGTAGTATTAGAGGGGTAGTTGTGGCACTCTGGTGAAGTTCCCACTGACTGGAAAAGGGGAAAAATAACCCCCATTTTTAAAAAGGGAAATAAGGAAGACTGGGGGAAGTACAGGCCAGTCACTCTCACCTCTGTGCTTGGCAAGATCATGGAACAGATCCTCCTTGAAACTGTGCTAAGGCACATGGAAAATAAGGAGGTGATTGGTGCCAGCCAACACGGCTTCACCAAGGGCAAATTGTGCCTGACAAACTTGGTGGCCTTCTACACCAGAGTTACAGCATTGGTGGATAAGGGAAGAACAACTGACATCATCTACCTGGACTTGTGCAAAGCCTTTGACACTGTCCCACATGACATCCTTGTCTCTAAATTTGAGAGACATGGATTTGATAGAAGGACCGCTCGGTGGTCTGGCTGGAGGAACTGGCTGGATGGTCACACTCAAAGTGTTGTGATCAACAGCTTGATGTCAAAGAGGAGACCATTGACAAGTGGCGTTCTGCAAGGGTCAGTATTAGGACCAGTGTTGTTCAACATCTTTGTCAGAGACATGGACAGTGGGACTGAGTGCACCCCTCAGCAAGTTAGCCAGTGAGACCAAGTTGTGTGGTGCAGTCGACATGCTTGAGGGAAGGGATGCCATCCAGAGGGACCTGGACAGGCTTGAGAGGTGGACCTGTGCAAACCTCATAAAGTTCAACAAGGCCAACTGCAGGGTCCTGCACATGGGTTGAGGCAATCCCAATCACAAATACAGGCTGGGTGGAGAATGGATTGAGAGCAGCCCTGAAGAGAAGGACTTAGGGGTGTTGCTTGATGAGAAGCTCAACATGAGCTGGCAATGTGCATTTACAGAAAGCCAGCTGTATCCTGGGCTGCATCAAAAGAAGTGTGACCAGTAGGTCAAGGGAGGTGATTCTCCCCCCTCTACTCCACTCTCATGACACCCTACCTGGAGTACTGCATCCAGCTCTGGAGTCCTCAGCACAGGAAGGACAGGGACCTCTTGGAGCGAGTTCAGACGAAAGCCACAAAGATGGTCAGAGGGCTGG